GCATGTAAAAATTATAAACACCAAAAAATGAACTTGTCAAAATATTTTTCATTACTTTTTAAGTGCATAAATTAATTGTTTTAAAGAATTTTTAATCATAGTTAAAATATTGAGTTAACCTAAGCTATCTACAACATCTCATATATATGGTTTTAAATCTCCTATTTTTCCTGCCTTTTAACTTTCGCCCAACTGATGCAAATTACTAATCATATCTATACCTGACCCCTGAATAGAGACCACTTCACTGTTACTGTTCAAGTCGGTCTACTTCTTTACCACTTACGTTGAGGAAATGCTTCCCAATATTCCCTTGGCCATGTATCTTCAACAATGCTCCTTTCTTGTTGCATTCCTGACAGAAGCCTATCCTTATCCACCTTCTCTATTCCGTGTAGGATTTTGTGACCACATTCCTTCATTCAACCGTCCAGTGCCATTAAGCTTCATTATTGCACCTTCATAGCTCATTATTCCTCAGTTCAGGCGCCAGTCTTGATACACTCCTTTGTACTTTCTTCTTTCACTGCTTTTACTAGGTGAGGTTTCCACCCCAAGGTTACATTTTTAAGAAAAGACTGCACATATGAGGTAAATTGCTTCTAACAAGTAAGTTCCTGAATGTCACTCATTCAAGCTTGGCCTGTACTTCAACATTATTGTTTAAATGCCCTTTTGGGTACAGGTTTAAGGTAATGGTTGGTCAATGATTCATATACCAAAACTCTCAGAGAGTTTCCTTCTCTTCATAGTTGGTATTTTGTCTTCAGCTTCTTTCCTGATTTCTAAATTTCATAATTTTGCCTTTGCTGGGGTTATATTCCAGTACCCACTCATTCAACTAGTCTTCCTGTAGCCTCTTTCATTTCACTCTCCATAGTTCATAGCTTCCTCATTCTTCTGGCATTATGCTCAAACAAGGTTATAAAAAGATTAACTGTGCCCAGGTCATTTATGTACACCAGAAACATAAGAGGCCCAACAATATTTTATGGAACTCTACTAATTACTCTGTACTATCTTGAAGCTTCATCCCTATTAAGGACTGCTATCACTTGTTCCAATATTCCCTCATTTATGTTAGTACCTCTCCTTTTAGTCCAGCTTGATACTCCAAGTTGGTTTTAGTCTTCAATGTGGGACTACGCAGCCCACCCAATTCTTTCTCTTATGTGACCTCGGATAACTTATCATATCTCTGTCTAATGAATGACCTTCCATTTCTGAATCCATGCTTTTGCATTTAATAACCTATTTACATATACAGTATATAAATGATACACATTAGAAGTACAGGAGAAATTGAACTAGTGATATATAGAGTAAGATCAATGAATTGAAAGGAAATGTGCTTCAGTCACCTTGGAATATATTTTTATAAATCAGCCTGTTCAAAAGATATAATAGCATGTCTTCAAATTTACCTTTCATTTTTATACTGAAATTCTTGATATATACCGTATAGAACTGATAAATTATTCTTTTATCAAATGATACACAAGAACCTAGTTTCAAAGAAATGACAGATAGCACACTATGAAAATAAAGCTAAACCATAAAATCTACATACTGAAATAAATTAAAAAAAAAAAATTACTATACAGTACTTTTCTACTTTACCATTTTCAAAACAAAAGCAAAAAACCTAGTTTACAGTAACTCCAATGTGTTTCAATGTACTTTTGTGTCTGGCTGTTTTAAGTCAAGTTTTCAGTATTTTAAATATTTTTGGCAACTTCTGATGTAAAATTAAAAATATTACTTTGCTTCTACTATGAATTCTGTTCTCTGTCCCTCAGTGGAGTAGAACATGCAATTTTAAGTATCAAAATGAACCAAATCTGGATTTACTTAAGTTCTTCCTGTATTTGAAATACAATGAACCATAGTGTATGTACAGTATTGACATATTAAAACTGAAACACAACCATATTTTCAGCTGGTAAGTTCTTCCAAGATCAATACAGTATTTCAAACCCCACCATGAATTGTTTTATCTTTCTTATTAAATAAAAATTTAAATGTAAATGACAAGGTTTAAATTTCAAGTTGATTTATGTTAACTTGGAAAAATAGCAAGCAAGAAAGAAAAAGCACAA